CTTTCCATTGTTTTTCCTCCTCTTCAGTTATTCAGATGGAGATCTGACTCTGATCTATCCAAATGGCCTCAAATGCTCCTCTGGCTTTGAGAGAATGACCATCATCAACTTTCAGTGCAACAAGACTGCTTGTGAGTCAACTTGTTTCTCTGCTTTCTCACAGATGCTGAAATTCGTGGCACCACCTGGCAGTAGAATAAAAAACGGAGCGGACATTATAAAAGAGTTACACAGTGTTCTGCTTTGTAAAACAAAGCAAATTGCACAGACAAGGCAAATAGGAGGTCAAACTCCAAAAAGGGAAATTGAAATAATATTTAGTTTTTATGAGTGTCGTTGGAGTTGATCTCTAAGACAACTCTAATAAAATTCACATTCATAAAATAAATGCACAATTACCATTTAAATAAATAAGAAATGATTGTAAGGCTCACCTTGTATAATTTGCACTTTGTTCCTTTAATGTATAAATATGGAGTTTCAGGTGAAGTTCAGTCTTTATTAACTACTTTTATATTATTTGCCTTTAATTCTTGCAGCCCACGGCGGGCGAGGGAATCCAGAGTTTGCTGGGGAAACAGACTGCACTTATTATTTTAACTGGGATACGGCGTTTGCCTGCGTCAAAGAGAAGGAGGATCTGTTATGTCGGGTCACAGATGGCAACAAGCGTTATGACCTTTCACCCCTCACAAGATACCCAGGTGAGTTTTAACAGATCGGTTAAATTTCTCTTCCAGTACTGGTTTTGCTTTTCCACCAAAAGCCTAGTTTTTGGCAGGTGGTGCCTTTTTAAATTCTTAATTTAGTGTTTAGCGGTGACTTGAACACAATTTCCTCCCTGGTGCAACTTTTGGTGACTGTTAGGTTACATATGAGTGACACGGGGTGATGATGATGATGAAATGACATAATATATCTTGGAAAATTAAAAGTATTGGGATTTATTATAATTTTTCATGTCGTTGTTGTGCAGTGATGTTGGCTCAGATTGGCCGACCTGTTAAGGAGGAAATGGGGTACATAGGTATATGCATGTATTTATGTAGCGAACTACAAATACCATATGCTTAAGTTTATTTACTCAGCATAAAGAATTTCTGTATTTCACTTTGAAAACTGTCGATCTAGCGTGTTTTGTCTCTTTAGGTTTACACACAATAATTTACTATGTGGTTCTAATTAAAATTATATTACTCTATGTTTTCCCTGTTGCTTTTATTATAATTACTGTTAATTCACTTGGTTGTGCCCATAGCTTCTCATCGTAGCACCTGTTCAGTACCATGCTTTCAGATGTGACTGAAAAATTAGGGGGAAAAAAACAACTTTTTTGTATGTTTGTTTTTTCTTGCTTGCTTCAGAGTCAGAGGGCAGTGAGAACTGGGAGGTGGTGGATGATAAATCGTCAAAGTCAGACTCACGTTACTACCTGAATGTTTGCCACAAAGTCATCCCTACAGGAAGGGCAGCTGGTTGTCCAGTGGATGCCGCCATGTGTGCCGTGGGTAAGAATGTCCACAAGGAGGGCGTTCTTAAAGATTAATCTGGTTGAATCTGAGTACTTTAATAGATTTGTTGACAAGTTATAGTATTTTGGTCCTCATGCATACTTCCCCCAATAAGTATGAGACAAACTGTATTTATCTTGCAGTGAATATAACCATTGTGCTTTATGTATTGTCTCTTATTCAGATAAGAATAACAGAACTATCAGCCTGGGAAGCTTCCTCTCTTCTCCCCAGAAAACCAAAACTGGAAACGACATCAGGCTGGTGTATACTGATGGAAGTTTTTGCACCCAAAACAAGACAAGGATCAAAACTATCCTGACTCTCAAGTGCAAACCAGGTATTTTCTTTTTAAAACCCTCTTCTCCTCTGTTTTCTTAGTTATGTTTCTGCTACTTTTGACTCTTTTGCGTTTCTTTTTCCTGTACTCCTGCAGGAGATCTCGATAGTGCTCCTGTCCTTCTTGG